AGAGCTCAGCAGCCATTAAGAAGTATAGCTGTCAACTCTTGGTCACTTAACAAGTATACTTACAGTCTCGCTCTGAGGGAACTGCCCCACTGGCTCAAGGGACTATATTGTTCTCAATTACCAATTCATGTCTCGAAACAAATTAGTCTTAATGACATTTTTCTCTCTCTTCATATTTTACCAAATTATACTAGAATATTAATCATCAAATAACCACTAATAAGAGCTACTAATAATTAAGTACCTTGTTATGTTTATAAGAACTTTTTTAAAAAAATATATTTTATTGATTTTTTACAGAGAGGAAGGGAGAGGGATAGAGAGTTAGAAATATCGATCAGCTGCTTCCTGCACACCTCCTACTGGGGATGTGCCCGCAACCAAGATACATGCCCTTGACCGGAATCGAACCTGGGACCCTTCAGTCCGCAGGCCAATGCTCTATCCACTGAGCCAAACCGGTTAGAGCTATAAGAACTTTTTACATGTTACCTCCTTTAATACTAACAACCTGGCAAGAAAGTCAAATCCAATTTAAAACAAGTACTGATAGTGAAGAAGTTAAGGAACAGGCCCAAGATCACATAGCAAATCAGTAGACAGGAACTGAGATTTTAATCCAGCAGACCTGATCTTAAAGCTCATGCCCTCTGTCCACTAGAACAGTTTCTCAAGCTTTCATGTGGGTAAGAATCATGGGGGATCTTGCCAAGGAAAGATTCTGATCCAGAAGTTCTGGGTGGGGCCTGAGTTCTGCATTTCTAATAAGCTCCAGGTGATACGAACGCTGTGGGTTCAAAGAATCCTCTCTGAGTCACAAAGGACATGACATTCTCTCTTCCCAAATCTGTTTTTCACATCTAATTATTATGCTTTAAGCAACCCTTCACCTCTAAAAAGTAACAAGTCATCCTCAAAGCCTTTTTTCCCATTTGCCCTTGGCTCCAGCCTGAAAAAACAAACTCCAGAATAGTTCTGGGAATAAAACATATAAAATACAGAAGATTCCAATAACCAGGCCTTAGTGACTAGTTCTATGGCCTGGCACCAACCCGAACTCCTTTAAAATGCATTTCAGCAACCTGGTCCTCCAGGACTAGCTCAGCTTCCCTGGTTGCTGCCCAAGTAACTCGAGGTCAAAATGCTCCCGATCTCGAGTTAAGTGGTCCACTGAGCCTGGTCAAGCCTTGTAAGGGCCTAAGATGGTACAGCCATTCAATAATAGTATGCTAAAATGAATACAGTAAAGAGATCTTGGTTCATGACATTATATATGATCTACTGTGCCACCAGTCTTCCCCCACAGAATCAGACAATTCTACTTATCCTCCATAGCCTCCTACTCAGATCCCCTGAAAATGGTACTAAATAGCATTTCAAGGCCTGTATTCTCTTTCCTAGTATCAAGTCTAAAATTAAGGATCAATATTATGTGCTGCCTTGACATTTGGTAAAATCAGGAGAGCCTCAAAGGGCTTAATCACAAATTCCACTACCTGCTCTGCTCCCATGGATGAGGTCCTATAGCCAAATAACCTTTCTTATAAAGGGACCAGGTACAGTTCCTGTTTATCCTTGAGCAGTGGGATTTAGTTTCCTGCCAGCCCCAATTTTTCAAATAAACCACTCACATCCTCTGGCAGGAGCCAGAGGGCACGCAATCCTCTTTATGTTACAAAGCCTGCCTCCCACAGCCCCTGGTCCCGCTGCTCCTGAATACAGTCGCACCCCAGCACGGCCGGCTGTGTTCTCCTCTGGGTCCAAATGTAGATGCTTATAAACTGCTGTTAATCTTATCTGTCCAGTGTCCTGTGTTGTAGGTTTAGCCATAACCCTAGGATAAGAATCCCTCCCTTGTCACTGGGATGAAAGGAGGTCATTAAAACATCTTTTTTGCCCAACCCACCAGTTTCTAGTCTTTTCACATCTTTGGACTCTTCAATGCCTTTGACAGGACCTCAACTACTCTGATGCTAATCATGTCCAGCACTGTGTTAATCACAGTCTATACACTTTCCCATTTACTTCCCTGACCCTCCCTATGAGGTAGAATACCATCATTATCTCTAATTTTCAGGTGAGGAAACTAGTGACCAGCAAGGTTATGCAACTTGCCCAAGACTCACAGCTAATGAAGTTGGGCAGAGCTCAGATGCAGATCTGCCTGGCTCTTAATGACTACCTTAGTCTTGACAGGCTCTCCGAGCTCACTGCTGTCATTCCTCAAGGTCTCTCACAGACAAACATGTACTGCGGGATGCTGACAGGAGCACCTGCATTTGAGGCACCTTGTTTCTTCTGCCGGTCTCTGCTGAAAGATGGATGGAGATGTGTATCTGGCAAACAGTGCTGCTGGAACAGGCCAGCTGACTGGCGAGGTGCCAAGAGTCTTCCCTCGATGGCTTGGACTTAAGGTCTGGTTTGCTTGTCAACCTTGTGGATATAAAAACCCCATCCTGTAGAAGTCTCACAGTTAATTGGACTTGGGGAGGTTAGATAACACTGTCTAAATTCGTAAGAGAAGAACTATAAATCAAAAAGTCAATTTATTAGTTCATTTACTAGTGAAATATGCCTACTCTAGCAGTTATCTGTAAAAAAAAAATAAGCAGTGAGGTCAAGTATCATCAGAAAGCCTTTTAAGATCACAAGAAGAGGCTATATTCACTGGACGCCTGGTGCATCCGTATTTTCCATGGAAGTAGATGCCTGGCCTCCAGACTGGGCAGATAGAGTCTGAGGGTGAATGCACACTGTACAGGCAGCACCAGCTGCCATTCTATCTTTTCACCTTCATCACTGAGTTTCTGGACTCTTCTGTGGCTCCAGTCTCTCTTTGGAACAGTTGGACTCAGCTTTGTCCTTGAGGTAACCCTGTGCAGGTACCTAATTGCAGTGACCATGTGCTAATTTTTCAGTCTCTCTGAGAATGTAAGGAGTGCCCTCCTGTTGCTCCCGCCCACGGGCTTTTCTGTTGGTGCTCCAAACATCTATCTATAGCAGATCAGAACTCCTCCTTTAGGAGTCTAAGCCCAATGAAGCTTTCAACTCACTTCAAACTTATCCGCCTTCTAACTTCCATCTGGGTCATCTACCTTACACTGGCTATCCCACACACTGTGACCTTGGGAAAATTACTTAACCTGGGTGGGGCACAGTTTCCTCCTCTACAAAATAGGACTCATAATAGTACCTCTCTCATTGAGTTGTTAGAAACTTAAATGTGTCAACACACTTAAAGCACCAGCACTAGGGACATACTCAATAAATCAATAAGCTGCTGGTCATCATCATCATCTCCACCATCACCTCACCACAGATTCTCAAAGAGGTAGAGACACAGCAGACTAAGGTCCACTAGAAAGTAACCATTACATTCGACTGTTCTTTTTCCAGACTCTCACTTTCGAATGGAATTCTTCTTTTGAGTCATTCTATAAAATACCATGATACAAAACATCAAAGTGCTTGGCATAACAAACTGCTAGTGTCCTCTCATCTTCAGACGAATTCAGAGAAACGAGCAATTTAAAATGGAAGACTTTGAGAGACTTATCTGCCTTTGCTCTGCCGTTCTGGGCATGCTGCTCTGATCCAATAGTTCATCCAAGATGACTCTCAACAGGCCAAACTGCAAATCTTCCAAGCAACACATTCATCTAATGAGTGACTGGGGACAGTGACTGCATCACATCTAGGGTGACTCTTGCATCCTGCATCAAGAGCCTCAACAAGCAATCATCACTTCAGTGCTCTCACATCCAACCTCTTAGGTGTTAATGAAGACCTGTGGCTTTGTCACTGGTATCAACAGACATTTTGCTCTGACCTGAAAATATGGATGAGTCCTGAGTTCTCACCAACTTGATTATGAGAATACACTTTTCTTCAACAAGGAATAAATCTGGACCGACACAATGCCAAATTCTAAGTTGAGAGATACTAGTCTAACATGAACATCAAAGCACTCAGGCAAATAAAGGAGACCGCGCCAAGCCTTGGGACCCCAGAGGCTGTGTGCTTACAGTAAAGGTTGGCAGCATAGGCTCTAAACCAGTGGTTCTCAACCTTCCTAATCCGCGACCCTTTAATACAGTTCTTCATGTTGTGGTGACCCCCAATTTCATTGTTACAAATTGAACATAATTAACGCATAGTGATTCATCACAAAAACAATATGTAATTATATATGTGTTTTCCGATGGTCTTAGGTGACCCCTGTGAAAGGGTCGTTCGAGCCCCAAAGGGGTCGCGACCCACAGGTTGAGAACCACTGCTCTAGACAGACAGTCAGGGAGTGAAGTGCAGCTCTGCCCCCTAACTACCTAAATAACTTTAGATAAGTTGCTTAACCCTCTAGGCCTCAGTTTCCTCATATGTAAAATGGGGATAATAGCTATCTCATGGGGTAGTTACAAGCAATAATATACTACTATATGTAAATGAGTTAATATACATAAAGGACATTTCCCGTAACATTTTAAACATTCACTAAATGTTAAAAGGAATAATAAAAATACACCTGCCAAAATGTTTTTACTAGAGGCCCGGTGCACGAAATTCATGCACTTGGGGGGTTGGGGGGAATCCCCCAGCCTGGCCTGTGCCCTCTCACAGTGCGGGAGCCCCGCGATCAATCGCCCCAAAGAGGTAGGCCACGCCCACCCATCCGGGGCTCCTCGATGGATTGCCACAAAGAGGTAGGCCGGAGTCAGGGGTCCCACCTACATGCTGCGTGGAGCCATGGGACCCCCAGGCATCACCACGTGGAGCCACTGGGACCCCTGGTGTCGCCAGGCGGAGGCGCTGGGACCCACCTCCGCGCCGCGCACATGCAGCATCAAGTCCCTGCCCACCTGCGCACGCCTTGCCGTGCACGCAGCCCCCCTCACCCGTGTGCACCCACTGTGCACACAGCCTCCTGGTGATGGATTGTGATGGCGTGAGGGCATGATGACCATTTGCATATTAGCTCTTTATTATATAGGCTATTTCTTAGGTTGGATGGTCAGTTTACTTTTTAAAAATCACTCTGCCTCATCATTTTATGTTATCTATGTCTCTTCTATATATGGCAAATATTACAAAAATTCTTCTTTAAATGAAAAGAATTTTCTAGACAATCACATTACTAGTTTCAAACAGCTGGTCTGGGATGGGAGTCAGCTAGGAAAGAGAGAATGAAGAGCGTTAGGCCTCTTATAGCACAGATCTCTGGGCTATCATCAGAAATTTCATTCAAAGCCTTAAACTCACTGAAAATTAGGAGGAGATACAAAGAACTTCGGAAATCACCTGGTCCAATGCCCACATTTTGTAGATGAGAAACTGTTGAGAAGTAAAGTATTTTTAAGACCTTCGAGTTAACTAGTGACAGAAATGAGGCCAATCTTGTTACCCCTGTCTGAGCTATATATTCTAAGTGGAAAGTAATGAGGAAGACATTTTGGAAAGGGAAAGAGATAGACACAGTTCGAAAGGGTTAAGGAAGTGACCTAACAATATGTAGCCAACGTTTACCAAAATTTATTATATCCCAGGCACCATGCCAAGAACTTTGCGTGGGTGGCCTTATATAATTTTTGCAAAACCTGTGAGGCAGTTACTATTATTAACTCCACTTTCAACTGAGAAAGTGGAGGGCTAGAGAGATGAAATGACTCGCCTCAAATCACAAAGCCAGGGAGTGGTAGAGTCAGTAAAATGAACCCATGTTGTCTGACTCTGGATCTGGAACTTTTCCCACTCACTGTACCTTGCCCAACCTTGAGAATTTAAAGAGCAGTTAAGCTCTTGATCCTAGAGTCTTTCTCCTACTTTTTTCGTAACTTCTTTGTTCAGAGGCACTGCAAAGATAAAAGAAGTGGTATTTAAGTAAGAGCAGATGACATTATTTAGCATTTATTTATTCTGTGCAACACCAGGCACAAGACACACATTTCTCAAGCCCAGGTCTTGTCCCAGGCC